CCCCCCAACCTCCTCCTCCCCCAACAAACTCAATACCCTACAACTCTATCATCAAACACAAGAAACATGCCATGCAACTCTATATCACAGGTACAAAAAGCACAATTCACACAAAACATTACGCTAACAAACGACAGGCCTTCAATAAAAGAAAAAAAAATTTTTTGAAAAGGAGACAAAATGAGTAAATCATGATAAAATATATATATTATAATACCAATGCCGCATCCCAAATATTAAAGTTCCAAATTTTGTAGAATTTTTCGTGCAACCACTGAGACCATAAAAATAGATACGAAAAATAAAAAATAAAAAATAAAAAATTGAATATGTTTAAAAGTTTCCATGGATTATAATCCCATTTTGTGTCAAAACATTTCTTTTATTCTTTTATTACCACTTTCTTTGTACAAACAGCAAACGCAATCAGCAACCAACAAACATGCAATCAATCAAATCTGTGACACAGAAAAAGTTCTATTTGATACAAATGAAAGTTAGAAGATGACAAACACAGTTCTCACTATCATAAACCAGAGGACAACAACGCAAGTTGCAGTCATGCATAAGAACTGAACCAAGGTCACTGAGTATATGTAAATGTATGAAATCAAGTTAGTAAACGATAATGGTTGATGATGACGAAGATGAGAAAGATGAATGATTGATTTTTATTTAGTTCAGTATAACGAGTCCAAATGATAAATTACCAGGTTTGGTCAATTTATTGTTCTGACCTCATTTCGAGAAAAAAAAAATTTCATTATAAACAAGTTCCTTCAAGTCCTAGGCCCAACTTGGTTCACATCCCACATTCAGTATGACATACAGACAAAATCCTCAAAACTGTGCAAAATAGAATTTGAGAAAAAAAATAAACGACTGAAGAAATTGGTACAACAACAAAAAAAACGGAAAAAAAACAAAACAACCAAACAAACAAAACTAGAAGTACAAGAAACAAACACTAACAGTCATATTCCCAGAAATTAGTTACACATCTATAAAGGCCAACAACATCTAAGGAGGAAAAAAAAATAAAGCTGTGCTGTAGAAAAATACCTCAATATTTTTTGCCAAGATTGCCTCTTTTTCATTTTCCTGTAAACATTAGTGTATTAATTGTAGACATCAGAGAGGAATTAAAGCTTCAAGACAGAGTTACACCACATAATTTTGCTATTTTGCAAAATTACTTCTCCATTACTGAAGACTCCAGCAAAAGTAGCGCTGGGCATCATCATACAACTCAAGGGTTCCTCCCACCCTCCTCAACTTCCGAGTAAGAGATGAGAGAGGGTTTCAGCCACACAGGTAATTCGGTCATCACTTGCATATACCACAAGCTTTGTATAAGTGACTATGCTACCTTGCAAAGCTGCTCAATATTTTTCTCCAAACTCCAGAAGTTTTTTTGTTTTTTTCTTAGCGGCAAGTTCTGCTTGTGGGAAGACAATAATGTTACAATGTTTAAGCATGCAATACTGGTACCAAAAAAATGATGATTTCTCAGATCATCATGTTTTATGTTCCAACAACAAATTTTTCCAGCGGAGAAGTCATCTAGACTATATACATAAAATGTGGAAGTGTTAACATTTTTTAATAAACTGCTTTTATAACAGTTTGTCCTTAGGTAGAGTTGAAATGAAGCTACAGCATCTTCCCCATAAAGAGAAGATCCAAGTACAGACTGGTATCTTTGCTTCTGGACCGCATTGCTGAGAGTCCCTCGGTAACTGTCACGGAGCTAAAAGATTCAGCTACTCACTGAGACAGTGTCACACGTACCAACAAACACCTGTTTCTGCAACAGCGGTGTCAAACCTACCATCATTCACACCAAGGCAGTGCATGGCTACCCGCATGGTAGCGACAAGCTTAATGAAAAGAACAACAGGCTTACAAGATGGAGAGATAAAAATGGCGTCACTACACGTCTTTCTAATTTAAACCACAACTGACGGTAGAGGAAAAGAAAAACACACACTGTTGCAAAAGTGAGGCACTCCAGATCCGTCAAACAGCAGCATGGCGATTTCTAGCTAAAAAAAATCACTGAGAAGGAACAACAAAGCTGGAGATGACAAAGATGGAAAGAAATGTACACATACTTGAGAGCTTCGTCGATGGCCGTTTGGTCGGCACTCTCCTGCTCTCTGGCCAGACGCTCTCTCTCAAACTCCTCTCTTTTGCGTCTCTCTTCCTCCATGTGCCGCTGTACTCGGATTTCCTGGGCTCGGCGACGTGCAAGGCGACCACGGTAGTGAGACTGTGTAAAAATGATCAGAGCGAGTCATTTGACGGAAACACATCAAAGATTAAAATATTTAACAAATATTTAGTTCTAGTAAGTTTTGTAGTTTTTTTTATAAACAGTGAGGTCTTCAATTTTAGTGGTTTTAGTAAGAGTTTTATGGCACTTGCAATACAAATAGTAAGTGCTGAGTGATTAGTGATGTTACCAGAGAGTAACATACAAAGAAAAGAAGGAAGAGATACAAGAACGATAGATGTTTGATAGGAAAGAAGTAGTAAACCACACCAGAGCGCCCGCCAACCACCCATACAGCAAAGTGTGCTTATAGGAAAGAAAAACAAGCTTGTTTAAGAAGGCAATACTGTGATCCTCTAATACAAAAAAAAAAGTCCATGACTTCTCAGTTCATCCCGTATCCAGACTAACTTAGCAGAAATCTCAACAATTTTGTTCTGAGAGAAAGAAAGATAGACAGAATTAATAAAGAGGTCAGAGATGAGGCCCCGCAACTGAGTTACCAGTCAATTCTGGTTCACAAAGAATATCAAGCAGCATCGAAGAGAAGGTCTCTAGATGAGTGGTCACCTAGGTGGATCATTGAGAAAGACATGTTAACACTCAATCAAAACAGGACGCTGAGGGCTACAAGCAGCAAGACTAAGAATTTGAAAGTTATTGCAGTCAACTTAGCATTATGTGATGTTACCATTGTATGCAGTGAATGGAAGCATAATATTATTGTAAACAAAATTCCCTCTTGCTGTAATAAAAAGTTTTACAGCACTTGCAACACAGGTCATTTTAGTGCCGAAGATAAAAAAGCGTTACAAGAGAGTAACAAACACACAAAAAAGAAGAGATAAGGGCAATAGATATTTGATAGGAAAGCAGGAACAATCCACATTATTAGACTACCCACCAACACCCACTCACACAAAATCGCTACAGGAACAAATAGAATTCATTTTTCTTCAGTTAGGAAAAAAAGAAGTCACTACCAAAGTCAACGAGCTGAAGTTAATCAATTCAAAAGAGCAAACAAAAGTTTGAGTGATGATTTTTGCCGGTAAAGATGGAAGAAGAATACCACAGAAAAGCAGCCTCCTTGACAGCACTTCAGACTACATATCAAAAAGGATTCTATCTTTGAGATACAAACCTGTAATACAACAGCTGCTCTCCTTTTGCGCAGAAACTCGAGCCTGTGCCTGAAAGACCGGAAGCTGTCTTGCAAAATGAGAACAGCTTCTCGCTTCTGTTGGTAGCCTGGAGAGACGCACGACATAGAAGGGTTGAGCAGATTTATAAACAAAATCTATTCTATAAATATTGTCTTGCTGATGTCGTTGTTGTAGATTCATGAAAGAGAGGGGTGCGATTGGGGGGGGGGGAGAAAAGAGGGGCGACGATAAAGGGAAGGGAGAGAGGGAGTGAGAGAGAGACGGAGGAGGGAGAGAAAGTGAAAGAGAGGGAGGAGGAGAGAGAGAGAAGGGTGGAGAATATATCTGAAACATATATTAAGTGTTAGTAAATCAATAATTACTCACTCCTGTAGCAGAAGAATCCCCTCCAAACTTTCTGAATAAGCACAGCCTTCCTATGCAGCAAGCGCTGTCTGCGCTCTTCCAGGGGTTCAAACACACTGTTCCTCATGAAGACCTGCGAGAAAGGGAAAGTTACATGGTTTGTTAGAGCTGTTGTTATCAATCCATGCTTGCCTTAGTAAAAAGAAGCACATTAACACAATAATGGCCATGTAAAGTACTGAAAAGAAAAAAAAGCAAAATAGACAGACAGACTAAAATATCTGAGATGAAAAACGAATCAAGACCTACCCTCCAATCACTTCCAGGAATGTGACAAAAAGTCATGAATCAAACAAAAATAGTAGACTGTGAAGAGGAGGAACTGTCGATGCAGAGTCTACAGTAAGTACTTAAGGTAACAACCACATTCCCCTCGGAAGAATATTAGGTCAAACAGCAGTAACACTAAAGGAGTACCAGAGGCAGACCACACCAGGGTGACATATGACCTCAGGCACAAGTGAGAAAAGGTAAGGGAAAACAATCATAAATGGGGAAAAAATTTCACAAAATAGTAAGACAGAAAAGAAAGAAAAAGAAATGTCAAAACCAAAAAACAATGAAAAGAAAGAAAAATGTGAACGAATGAGAATTTGAGGTGGAATGGGCACTTTGGCACGAATGTGCGTGCACATGTACACCCACCCATCTACCCACCCGCACGCGCGTGCACACGCACACGCACACACACACACACACATCCCCCGTACACACACACACACACACAGCAAAACAAAATAAATAAATACACAGGCAAACTAGCATACATACACCTGAGTACACAAAAACACACAAACAAAAACATAGACACAAACACATACACACAAATACACAGACAAACCAACATACATACACACAACAAAGTCTACATGCAGCCTTCACCTTTGTCTTGCCCACTTGCCACTCCGTCTTGGGCAGTTCCAGGGCATTCAGAATGACCTTCACCGCCGCTCCCGTGGCGTCACCCCCCTGCGACCCTTGGTCCAGGAGAACGCCATACTTGCTGAGGAACGTGTCGATCGGGACATGGACCGGGTAGCCCTGAGGAGAAAGATGAGGAAAACTGTACAGACAGAAACTGTTTTTGTCTCACTGTTTGAGTAAAAGAGAAGCACACTGACAGATGTATAGCCATTTACAAAGGAAGATTATTTTTTTCATAAAAGTTACTTTTATGAGTCTGTCTTTTAGTTTTAGTAAGTGTTTTACGGCACTTGCAACTCAATAAGGTCATATAAGTGCCGAAGATTAAAGGTGTTACAAGAGAATAACAAACCCCAAAAAGAAGGAGGGGAGATAAAGACGATATATGTTTGATAGGAAAGAAGAAGCAAACCACACCAGAGCACCCGCCAACCACCCACTGAGTCTGTCTGGGGATGTTCACAGCTGTAGTACATACTTTGAGGTTCTAAAAATTCAAAGGCTTTTTACATTAACTTAGAGGACTATCAATTCAGGAATGAATGCTTTATTTTTTTTCTGATGCAGGCATAAATAAGCACTGAAAACTGACACTGTATACATAGAGACTCTACTAAGCATTCCCATCATTTTTTTCCACCACATCAACCGGGTTTGCTGCTTCCAATGAGTCAGCACAAATACGACTTTACAGTTCTTTCGTCAATACCACTGGCACCAATGGTGTAATGGTTACACCTTTTAACATTTCATGCAGACGACTTGCAGTAAATTCCCCCACAGAGAAGATGATATTTCATCTAATAGCTCTGTCTGACTACAAGGATACTGTATCCATATTGATCAGCCTCTGTTGGCTGAGACTGAAGCAGCCTGCCTCATACTTAATTATTCATCTAAATTACATTATTGAGAACATAAAACATTTTCAATCTTGCAAATCACAATTATGACAAAAAAGTATCCTTGTCCATACCTCTCGTTTGATGCGGATAATATCCAGCATTCCTGAGTAGCGTAACTGCTGCAGCACCTCATTGGGCTGGTAGTCATTCGGACGCTTCTGGGAGTTGGGTTTCAGGCAACGAACATACCTAGGGGTTGGAGGGTATTATAAAGATCAGTCAGACAGTATTTTACAACAAAAAAAGAAATGAAAACAAAATGGTATAGGTTTAATGCCCCTTGTAACACTGAAAGGTTATTTAACAGGCAACAAATTCAAACTTAACGTCCATCTCCGATAGGTCCAAGCAAAAAGGGAAAATTTGTAGGGTGCCTTTCCCTGGGATGCATAGTCTGGACTTAGCTGAGTCTCAACCCACCACCCACCCCCCTCCAAACCCCACAACCTCAAAATTATAAATGTGGTAGCCTAAACCATTAGTCTAGCATCACTAGAGGGAAATAATGGGGAATGAGCAATGCTTCTACATATAGCATAATAACAAATATTATTGATAAAATTAATCCGATAACTGGCCTCTCCCAACACCACTTTCAACTCATCAAATACTGGTCTAGCTAGCAACAACTGTGGAAACTGATCAAGCTTGAAAAGAATTTATGCACCATCATAAGCAGACTTAACATTTTCTTTGCATTTGCACATAACCCAAATGGCTGCTGTAGCTTTCATATTGCATGAGGTAAAAAGCAAGCAAATGATCCATCTCCTCCGAGAGATTCCTCCTGAACTTCTTACCATGGATTGGTGAGATCCAGCACATCCACCAGTGCACTGAGCTGGTGTTTGAAGGTGTCCCCGACAGTTGGTTTGCTGCGGGATGTGCGCGAGATGGTCTGACGACCTTGCAGGAACTCCAGGCGAACACCAAGCAAATCCTGAACACAGACAGTTTAAAAATGGTCAAAAGAAAGAATGACTCCCAAAATATATGTCTGCTTTTCATAGGAGTTTAATGCTTTACTTTTTACACATGTATGTGGGTGTGCTTGTGTGTGTGTATTAGTGTGTGTGTGTGTGTGCGTGTGTGTGTGTGTGTGTGCGTGTGTGTGTGCGTCATGTGTTGTGTATGTTTTCTGTGTGTTTCTGTGTGTGTGTGTGTGTGTGTGTGTGTGTGCGTGTAAGTGCATGCGTGTGTGTGTATGCGTGTGTGTGTGTGTGTGTATGTGAGTGTTAGTGTGTACATGTGCAGCCTCCATGGGAACTTAATTGACCTGAAATCAAGTAAAGTCCTGGTGTTGCAATTGCCAGCAAACGAAGAAAAAAAAGAATAGACAAAAACAAAGCAAAGGAGGACACAAGTTTAACAACAGGTAAGGAACATTTTTTAAAATCTACTAGAATTAGCAAACCCTTACATAAATATACCAACTTGAACTTGACACAGGTTGTATAGTAGTGGTCTGTGAGTAAAATCAACAGAAAATATATAGAAATTAGAAAGAGAAAATGGAAGTGGACTGAACACACCTTGAAAAAACTGAACACAAACATTAACATAACTCACTCAGCCTTAAGATGGAATTCACGAGGAAAGAAAAAGAAAGAAAAGCCTAAAAGTTTTTGGAGGGGATTGGATTCAGACCTTAATAAGACGGTATACAGCTGGACAGAATTGAAAACAGTAGCCCAGGACAGATGTTCATGAAAAGCTCTTTTTGGTGGCCTATAGTCCGGCATGATGTGACAAAAGTTATTGATGATGATGATGATGATGATGATGATGATGATGATGATGATGATGATGATGATGATGATGATGATGATGATGATGATGATGATTAAATTAAATACACATAACATATTCAAGTCTCCAGTATTTTTTATGTTGTACAATGATGATGATGATGATGATGA